AATGATTAGTTGATTCATTATTCGTGGACAAAAACACATTCAGCTCTTCGTTTGTAGGATATTTTGTGGTAATTGCTTCATTAAATAAGAAATGAGTCAGGTTATTTGCAGCTGGTCTTATGAATTATTTCTCATTCATTGGATAACTAACGTCAAAATTCATTAGAAAGTTTCAAGTGAAAAGTTTTAAAAAAAATATTTGGATGAATTATGGACCGTAAGAAATGTAGTTATTTGGAAACATTTATTTTAGAGTATGTACTATTTTATAAGTACCGATCACATTTGTTGATCACGTTGTAACGTGGTCACCAGTGAATTTGCTATGTTGAGATGTTAAGGGAGTATAGTTAGTATGGAACAATCACATGTCTTAATCTGAATCGATTTATGGTAGTGATTTCCATTTGGCTTAAAATACTTGGCGTGATATGTTAACTAAATGTGAACAGGAAAAGACAAAGCTAGCTTTCCATAGACTTCCTTCAAGTACCTGATATCCACTGACTTGTCAAAATGCATAAACTAGAAGTTGCCTAATCTGTAAAAATTTGATCAAACCTTGAAACAAGACGACATGACATGATCTAATACTAGGTGTTTTATTAGCATGAAGTTGAGATCAGCTGTCACTTTAATCTGGATCAAGGTTTCATGCTATTTGGCTCGTTACCAAAACTTACCTATAAGTTTTAATCAAATGGTGTGTAATGTGTGATTTAATCTCAAGTACTTTCATTCACAAAACATATTTACTCTTGATTACTTGAAATAGTCCTGAGAAAGCGTGGAATGGGTACGTTTTATACAATATAACGCTAATAATATAGTGTGTATTCAAAATATTATTTCACAAGTGAAAATTGATATAATTTATATTGAATTTGTTTCACATTTTCAAACTCAATGATCTCTTCGAATTCATGAAGAACATCAACCATACAAAGATAACATTTAGTAAACAATATCATCCGGTTAACTTCACACAGCGAATAAAGAATGAATGCTCTAGGAGTGGTACTGTGGTGTGGTCTACTTATATCCATATAAGTAGTGTATGGTGTGGGTCAGACATAGAATGTATTTTGGCAGAAGACCGATGAGGAAAGAACTGAAATGAAGCGCAATCGTTTGGAAAATGCATGAGCAATGGAATAAGAGAAGAAACAATGAAGATTGAAACAATTGGTTGTTAATTTGTAAATTGACTGTTTATTGTTTGGTTATCAGAATTTACTGAGATAGTCTGTAATGTTTGCTTACATACATCCGATTGTCCCCAGTCGTGTTTTGTTCACTACAGTACCATATACTAAAAGTGGCAAAATTGTTCATAGTTATTTTGCAAGATCAATATCTGCAAATTTTGGTGGGGATCTCTCATTTTAACTGTCATTGATTAACAGTTGTTTAATTTTGTTAGGAGATAAAACAATAGCAAATAAAACGCACACTAGACTTTATGACATGAAAAGTATTCACTATCATAAATGAACGTTCCCTTCTTCTATACGAAAATGCATCAGACCACTTGTAATGATAGTTAGAATGAATTCAAACATTACTAAGGTTTCTTGATTGTATGAAATAAATCATAAAGATTTCTGAGTCATGAATAATATCTCGATTACCACTTCTGTTTCTGATGAGTAACAGGTATTTCATCAGTGAATATCAAATAGTCTTCAGTGGATTAATATTAAACGAACTATAGTACAAAATATTTGTTAATACATCCCCTCAGATATTTTAAGCTTCATATTTTAACTTTAGTGTATAAGACATTTATTATTAGGTCCATGTTTGCAAGATGCTAACCTTCAAAAATTTGCTATTTCAGCTAATAAACTAGGAGAGATCCGTAAGTTGCTTACCTTCTTAGTCTGAAAGCAACTTTAGAAACATTTGAATATTTTTGTATTATTCGAAAATGGTTTTCAATTTGTTTCCATTACAAAATGAAATAGATACATGTTAGTACATGTGTGTTTACATATGTCGTACGTTGTTATGTAACTATAAATTTGAGCCACTCTCAAACCAGTGATCTTTACTAATGCTCAATTTTGAAACAATTCGTTTGTCTAACGATAAGTGAGGGTCTGAAATAAACAGATTATTCATGCATTTCATAATTCAGAATCTGAATTCTTGTTATACAAAAGAGTTATTGACAGAATTTTCCAAAATTCTGAGACGGATAAAAGTAGATCACTTGATTAGAATATGCTTCCAGCTCTTAAACGCATATTTGAATCTTGATGAAAAGTATACACTCTCTGAGATGGTTAATTTGACTTCGTTGCGTTGTTTCATTTGATTGAGATGGAACTTACATACTCAATGATCCAAATCTGTATCTTTATCGAGATCTAGAGAATAATTATTCTATTTTCATTTTATCATGGGCTTCGCATATAACAAATCAAATATAAAACGCTTTGTTTTCTTCAAGTAAAAAAACTAAATGTAAGTTTTATCAGGTTTGACTTATGTTTCATTTAAAAATGAACGAGTATTTCTCAAATACGCTGAAGAAACGTTTTCTTCTATGAGATAGAGCTGAAGTCTTTATTGCTGCAAGAATATCCTTTTTGTGTGTATAAGAACCATAATGAACACTAAAAATGCACAAATTATTCGGAAAATGTTTCGTCATGTCTGAAATAATCCTTATAATTTGTGGCAGGTCACAGAGATGTTGTAAAAGATCAATGGTCAAATTATACATTTTTACTTGCTTTATATTTCGATATCGGAAGTATTTTAGGTCAGACCAGATAGTGTATAATTTAAAACTAATGACTAATTTAATATCACCATGTTCTTAAAATGTTTCAACTTGTGTTTCTGCACTTGAATGGGCGCTATTTAATAAATGAAATAGTGACTACAATTGATCACATGCTTCTTTACTCAGACATTCAATATCAATACGGAGTCAACGATGAATCCAAATATAAAATTATTTAACCGGAACTTACAACGGATACCTGAAGTGATAATGTATTACTCTTTAGAAAACTAGCTTTCATTAAGGTTTATTGAAAAAGACTTCATCGACATAAGACAAGCGTTGGTGTCGTTCAATATTACTTTTGAATACATCACTTATTTCGATATAAATGTGTGAACTTGATTCACTAAATATTCACTACTTGTTCATACACTATTTATTCACAGTTTGTTAATGAATATCTGTGTTATTTGTTGTTGTCCTTTAGTGAAACGATGTAGAGTCCTTGAAGAGAATTCGATCAACATGCAGTACGAATATTAACATATGCGAAATTGCCTGATTTCTAAAGTGATCTTTAACTTTTATAAAGTTAACGAATAATGGTTTTCATAATTTTATTAATAAACTTAATTTAATACGTAAAATGCCACTGTTTTATTTCTGAACTATAAAAGCTAATCACACGAGAAAATCAAATATTGATCGGTGTTTTGAAATTCAATTCACTCACGATGTCGAATCAGTCAGCATGATAACTGCTGTGTGAGGTAATAAGTTCAGTCCAAATGAAGAGAAGAAATAACTATTTTTTAATTTAAAGTAGTTATACTGAGGATTTATTGAAATTTTTCAGACCAATTAGGCGATTACTTTAGTCAGATAATGTGGAGAATAGACTTCTGTCGTATTCAGCATCCCATTTAAATAAATAGTGGTTACTAAAAGTTATAAACGAATAACTCTTATAAAACTACATTGGTACAGAATAGAAACTTGTGTATTAATTAACACTAATATCAGAATTATAGTGAACAAAATGTCAGGGTTGTATACACTGATGATGAACATCTGTGCTCAGTACTGATTTGTATTGAGAGACGGATGATATTACTAAACCATGAAGATTCCGTAAGACATGTTCTATTATCTCGTTGGAAATACACATGTTAGCTACAAATATTCTAATATCAACAATCTAAGTAAAGTGATACGGTTAACGTAAACTCAGTGATCGTATCGTCCTCCTTCGTCTGACTAAAATTTCATGGTATAACACTAAAGAAATATATAACGCGTCTGCTCTCGTAATCGATTGTTACTGACACAATTATTGGTGATAGAATAAGTGTGAACGATAAGATTTAAATATTTATATTTCCTAATAAAAAGTTGTCACTGAAAAGTTCACTGTCATCCATCTTTTGTATTCAGATTCTTCTTAATTATCCACATACATGTTGTTGATCATACATCCTACACCCCTTCGATGAATTCATATCCATTGTTTAGTAATCCTCACTTAATTCTAAATCTAGTATTTTAGATGAGCACAACGTTTCCGTTATTGGGATGATTACCAGCCTGGTAACTATTCTAATTGTTTCAATTTCTGTCGTTCTATTACATAACCAGCTTGCATTAATGTGCACAACAGTGATCAGACTATGGTTACTTGAAAAGCAGTTCATTACATTGTCCGTTTCCTTCTGTCTACATCTGTTTTGGGTGTCTAATTCAAGTGTCAATCCAAGTTGGATTTTTAAATAAAAGCTGTTTTATTGAAGCTTTACTGAATTGAATATAATCATTAAATATCAAAAAATAATCAGCGCCCATATTATTGATGGTTTATTTTTGAAATAAATATTTTGGACCTTTGCGTGTTTGTTTTTAAGTGTTATAGACAGTGACTTAAACAGCCTTCTAATAGTGATTTCTTTCATAAATCCCTACGTAGAGTTCTCGATATTAATCTCATACTTCGAAGATCATGTACGTTATATGATTTAGATACAAACTCCCAACTTCGCTAATAAAATAATTCTCTGAAACAGATTCATGCATCATCTTTCTAGTTTTTTATATCGAAAGTTGCAATTTAATTATCCTTAAAGGCTAAATTTCTTAATTAAGTCAATTTACGGTAATTTTCCATAAGGTATAATTAGGTCCCAAGTGGAACTACTACTGTTATAACCTTTGAAGTTAAAAACATTTGCTGAACAAAGGCGTTTGTACCAAAAGAGGTCAAAAGTTCCCATAGGTTGCAGAGAGTTATATTTTAGCAGGTACTTGGTCAATAAAAAAATATCCATCTGAACAAATCCCAGTTAACCGTTAGCATGAAATTTTGACAGAAGCTGGAGTTTTCTTGAAACCGTACATAATGTGATAAATGATAAATGTTTCATTTATAATCATCATGCAAAGGTTTTTCTTCAGTGTGACTATGCTACATAAGATGAAGATCAAAAGAAGAAAATGATGTGTTTAATTGATTGTCTCAAGCTAATATAAGATTAATGACAACGGTTTAACTTGTATTTATCATGAGATTTTGAATGTATGACATGGTAAGTGCTGATATGTCATGAGTTAGCATTCCGTGAATTTAAATGAATTGCATCACCTGAAGTTACACTAAAATCTGCAGATTGGAATGTAAGAATGTTCTTCAAGAGTATGAACAACATCCACACAATCTCGGAGATTCAGTCCAGCACACACTTTAGTCTATGAAAGTCATTAGTGATATTTTGTTTAAAAGCCTCGATCTATCTTTCGGATAATGATAATGTTAGTATGAACACATATATAGTCTCACTGTTAATGTTCTTCCAAAGTTATTTCATAGATTGTCAAATTGAAGATTATTTGTCGAATGATCTGATAATTTAATGAGTGTGATATCAATATGTGGATGGGAATTTAAGTTAACTTTATGAATGTATATAAGACTACAACGTATTCGCTGCACAAACTTTATTTTAATGATTTAGATAAGAATGGGTGAAGCTTACTACTAGTTCGATATTCTAAAAAAATGGTAAAGATGCCCGTTTAGTTTACAGTATTATTAATAACTGAATTTTTGTTGATTATAACCATTTTCGTTTTATAAGTATATCACACTCATTGTAACAGAATGAAAAACCAGTCAGTAAAATTGGTCATTCACATATTTACAGATTATAGGAGGCTTATCAATAAATATGCATATTAACTCTTGAATTTGAGATTTTTTAGTATTCCAGTTGTTTACTGAGATACGTCATTAAGTTAGCTTCGGACGTATCATCTCCAAAAACATAAATCGAGCAAAGAGAACTTACGTTGAAATTTGTAACCTTGGTAAAATTTTAAGAAATGATAAATGGTCGATATGAAGCTTACATGAGAAAAATGGTTTAATTTTGCTAAAGTCAGATAATCATTTGTATTTTGCTAGGAATGTATCTAATAAATTATGAAAATTATTTCTTATTTTTCATCTCAATAAGAGCAGTTAATCATTGTGTACTTTATATTTCAAATTGCTTTTTCTGACTGACTTTGTTCAATAAAATTGTTTTCTATGGGTTTATGGTACTAACTCTATGCCCGAACTAGAGGTAACAGGAGTATGTAAGTTAGTGTGCACTATTTAATGAGTACTAATGGGAAGTTATTTTTATTTTGAAATTCCTAAAGGTAAAAGAAATGATTGATGATCGTACAATCGAAAGAGTTTTCTAAACTACAACAGACAAGAATGTTATAAATGTATATCCAGCTCTTAATAATACAATAAATTGTGAATCCTATTAGTATAAGTATAGGTAGAATAATCTTACAAGTTGAATTCATTGTGCTTACTATAATAGAAAAAGTCAAAGGAAATAGAAAAACAAAAATAAACAGAACTCGTTCCTAATGATGAATAACCATGACTAAATTATTCTTGAGAATAATAGCATATAGTATTACTAACTTACACAAAACATAAACGTCAACGTTTACAGGCTTTCCAACTATGTGACAACTAAAACCAACTCATTGATTCTATGATGTTGAAAAAATTAGTGAACCGATTAATTGAAGATCGATCACAGACAGTAAAACCTAAATCACGAGCGAACCGACTTACGGTTTGAATGAGTAACACTTATTATGTACAAAGGACTTCTAAATAAAATTACTGATAACGTGCGTGATAAAAAGTGAATTAAAAATTTATTTGAATTCCCTAAAGATTTGTTATCGACATTGTTTTTGAACAAATGGTGTTTTTGAGGGTCAAACTGTTTAATTTGTTTCTTTTCTAGATAGCTGTGGTATGTTGGCTGTACACAGTTACTAATTAATATTTACTTCTTGAAGCGTTTGTAAATATGTACATGTACTTTCCATCACAGAAACAACAATTCATTTTACTTCATTGTTTAATTACTTAAGTTATCGAAATTTTTTCTTAACCAGATGTATTGGATAGATTTACAAATATTTTAAAATATAATCATACCAATAATACGAAGTTTCTGATCTGTGTACAAAGTAATATTAACATAAAATGTGATGCTTTTAAACTTGTTCACATTAAACAACAGTGAAAGCATAAACACATGGTAAATGATTTATGTTATACACTAATTATAATATCCTCCCATATTTTTTTATTCAAATACTGCTTCTCAAATTTGTTTACTAACTTTCTAAGCGTCCTTTTTTTCAAGTGTTTTACGCATGGTGATTAGCGTTTTTCCAACCATACCAAGAGGACATATATAACGTATTCAATTATTGAAAGTTCTTAACAGGGTTTTTATTACGGTAGTTGTAAAAAGCTAGGCAAAAGAGTGCATTGTCTTGTCTAGATACTTTCTCTGTTAAGTTCCTACTTATTTTTTCGTTAATTTTAGTCTAAAATTCGGTGGTGAAATATGTATTTTACAGTCTTCAAGAGTGGGACAACTGTGAGTAACGATGGCACATTGTTCATTCCTAAGTGATAGCGATTTTGATCTCGTAAACAAATAATAAGAAGTCCCTAACACTATGCGTTACAAGATGTTTATGGAGTGATCTCAATATTGTTACTGGTTGCTTTGCTTTATTATGGTATAATGACTAATTCATATTTGAATCGGTCTCAATGAGATATGCAGTATGTGTACCATCGGTATTCCATGCAATTTCGGCAGATGAGATTACGCTGGCTCAAACATTTCGTATAAACGTGAGAAATATATTGTTTTGGTCTTCGATCTTTCAAAACCTGTCGAATTAATTATCTAAGATATTATTTAAAACATTCTTGTCAGTTAGTTCTAATGGTTAGTTGTAATATGGTACTCATTTTGATAATACAATGTCCTTTACAAAAAAGACAAAATCTTGTTTCGTTGTTAGTTTTACAATTATTAACGTTTCCTAATTCAGGAGTATTCTAATAACTTCCCTGTGTTTCTTTGTACGAACGCTTATTTAGTTACAATTATTGTTCGTAAACTGGTAACAAGACTCTACAAGATTTAATTTTCTGTGTTTTGTTTTTTGATCAGAATGTGTAACTAGACCCTGTACCAGACTACATTAACGTAAACAGAATGATTACGAATATCAAAGAATTTTACTTCGAAGGACAAAATGTTTTGTCTTCCCCTGACGAATTATTGAAACGAGTTTTCAGATCTGCAGGAAACTTGCTTTTAAACGTTTGGTTCTCCAGACCTTTAGGCCACTAAATGAGTTATTTCCTTGCTTTCTGTTCTGTTAACTTCTTAGATCATTCAGCCGGTTTTTTTATCACATTTTTCCGATGGACATTAATCTCTATCTCTTTTATATGAGAATGCCATGCGTCAGTTTCTTTTAAAACACAGAGTTTCCATGTCATCCTATTCGGGTTGTACATTGTTCTGTCGTAACAATGTCGAGTATAATTTGGATAGTGATTTGATTCGATACAGCTGTAGTTTTCGTCTTCCTGGACATATATCACTCAATCTTTGGGTGAGGCTGTATATGTTTAATTTTGTAAATTCCTTCAATTATTTCATTTAACAGACAGTATCAGTAACGGTAACACTTTTTCATTGAGTGCCTTCGACGCAATGAGTTGTTCACAAAATTTGAGTTGTTTAAAAATCCTTAAACCATGAAAACAATAATACATGAATAAAATAACTATTTCCGAAACTAATCAGTTTCGACTGAGGATATTACTTGACATTAAATACATTGATAAACGACAAAGAATACTTACTGTCAAAGTGTCCTTCATCTATTTATTAGGAAATAGATTAACAAGTAAGAAGTCTTCCAAATACTTCAGAATAATTGAATTATTGCCAGTATAATGGTTACAATGCATATATAAATGAGACAGACATTTTGAGAAAACATTTTGGCCTAGTGGCCAAAAGCCTTATGTTACATAGATACGTTCGAAAAGACAATCTGAATGCGTTTCAAAGTAAACAGTCATGATATTTATCTTGGTATACTGTATCTCTAAAGACAATTTAACGTTGATTAAGGGATATCGCAAAGTATTTAGATCTAGTGAATTCAACAGCTATTTGCTTTTGTACCATTTTATGAATATATATTTAAAAAAATGTATGAAAGAATTAAACCATCTCAATCTCAATTATTTTTAGTAAAAACTGCAAGTAAAGTTATACAGCACTCTTCATACAAAAGAAATTTGAATTTACAATTGAGTTTAGCTCTAGTTCATTCGATCGTCGTAGATTTGAAATGAATCTGACTTGTAACGTACTAAATAGTCTCAGTAAGCTACTCCTCTTCTTCATGATGTTTCAAGGAAAAGCTAATCTGTGATATAAAGAATATTACCATTTTTGTTAAGCAGTGGAAACAAAGAGTTTTCAAACTATGTAAATTCAGCTTACATCCAGAATACAATGAATCTAAATAAAAGAAATAGTTGAACATAAATGAAAATAAGTGCCTATGACATGAGCAAAGTATATTTATGTAAATAAAAAAATATATAAGTAAAACATATTGTTGTGTCTCGAACTTAGAATTCTTAGTCTATACTTCAGCAGTCGAACGCTGGAACCCTCCAAGTCACAAATCAAAAGACAGAAGACAAGTAGACGGAATGTTATTCCTGACAGTGTTGAATATAGTACAACATTATCAGGTATTTATAGTTTTTAGTAGAAACAAAATCATCATTATAGTTATCCAATCCGCAGACAGGAAGTTATCAGCATTGTCCAATAGGAGAGCTCCACATGGCAATTCTGGAATATTCTTCCAAAAGCTGATTGGATGGAACATGTTGGGCTCCTTCTGGGCTTCCTAGAGTCTCCTCGACTTTACCTGTGGACCATCCTCACACATATGTTATATCATTTTTGTTCTGACACTTTCAGTTTATATTTTTCTACTTGGCTGATGTTTCTTTTTACTACCTAAATAAATTTTAATAAAACCATTGATTTTAAGTGTGCCATATATGTAGTAATAATTTGTCATTTATTATTTGTTTCAAATTCTTTTTACTTGAGACTTTACTTATAAAAAAGTGTCTATTCTGTTATCCTTTTCATTAATGTTGAACTAATCAGTAGATATATAGATATATTAATGCTATTACTGAAACTACTCGAAATACGCTTTCAGATACTCATGTTTAATATAGTTTTTCAATCTGCATTTCAAATTTCTGATCTTCTACAGACGCAACAGTTCATCCTGAATGTATTACTTAGAAGAACTATGATCTTGAAGATGACTCATTTAAACGCTTCTTCTTTAAAATATATTTTTCTTTAGTCCGAGACAATAGAATTAGTATTCGATGACAACAATCAACAATATAATTTACTTCATTGAGATCGATGAAACGAAATAATGTTGTCAGATTGTACTGTCTTGTAGGTTGTGCTTTTTCGTAGAATTACATCACCATTGAAGAACAAACAAATGGTAAAGTTATATATCGATTTTTAGCCAGATAGGTGTGAACTTATCAATTAACGCTAGCAAATAGACATTTGTAAATCGTTCATGAACGCTCGTTACTCCCAAAATCCTCTCAAGCCTTAAAATCGAAATACATATCAACTTATGAACTTGTGATCTAATGACTCAGTGATGTGCTGAAAGAAATACCTGCCGATTGGGCATTAAAACAAGGGAAAATTTTGTTCACGAGTTATCATTGATTTTCTTGTAATGTGAAGGCTATTGGTTCTGAAAAATCAACTGGGTGAAGATCATCTAATCTCTTGTTCATTAGAAAAAAATAATATGCTGTCATTTAAAATGAGAAAAAAAGGTTTAGCCAAAAAGCTGCAATTCTCCCAGACTTGTTATATTAAAATCTGAAAACATTTTACCGCTAGACAAAATCTCTTGATTATTCCTTTGTTCAACGGAACATGCAATTCTGCCCACAAAATGTGGTTGGGTTGGATTGGTAAAGAACTATCCATCCCTTCAAAATTTATTTATTGCGCTAGATGTGATCAGCATGCATTAATACACTCTATTAGTAAGTTCTGGACTAATGTATTATATAAGCAAATTATAAGTGTTACCAGGTAAGTCACAAACACGTTGAATATTTAGAGTACATTGACTGATAAATATGTATCACAAAACGTTCATGAAAATCACATCATCTCAAACCGTTGAAATCGATTACTACAAAACAACTCATGGGCAAGTATAAACAATTTACATTGAATAAAAGTGAATGTGATTTTTAAAAAGTCTCTCTCAAACATACTTGTAAAAGATGTCCCTGGAAGTAAACAAAAGTATATAATGAGATTAACCGAGATATCTTACTTCCAACTTTAAAAATAGTTATAATCATAGTTCATTTAATTAAAGCACAGTAAATGATGATAAATGAGTTTTATTAACTCACCTGTGTAACCTAATAGTTTCAAAAGTAAAACGAATAAATTAAATAAATGTAATAAAAATTCTCATTTTGACAATTCCTGTGATGACATCACTGTAAATGAACTGAATAAAATTCGAAACCTACTAAGTTAGAATGAATATTGGACGAAATTCATCATCAAACATATAAATGAAATGAAGAAGGAGATCAAGTGCATTTACCTTCCTAAAGAAGGCACCGTTCATAAACTTATAATTGCACAATGACACTATCAAGAAAACAGCAATTCAAAGATTAAGAAATGGGATGCAGTAAACGCTGACTAATATCGAATTTATTGGTGTTTTCTACAATCGCACTGTAATTAGAATCATCAATAAAGATGGAGTGGCTGAATCCGCTTAATACATTCATATTCGTCAAAGTGGCAATTATATAAAACATACAGTTCGGTGATTTCCTTATTGCATTGTGGTGCACCATCCATCTTCAGTCAGAAAAAGATAGATCAGAGCGATTAGGAATTCTATTTCAGGTCACTTAGTCGACATAGAATATCAAGTTGACTTAAATAGTTCTAAAGTATACCCGCCATATCCTTTCAAATCCACCTCGTGGTGTACGAGATCGTCTTTTAAATATTTCTGAAGCTACGGAAATAGATGTTCTCAAACCTATCCTTTGCATTAGTAGAAAAATTGTTCAATCACATTCACTGCCTCAGCTATCTGTATGGGGATGAGTTTTAACTGAACTTTGATTAAACCCATTCATTCAAAAATAAACATCTAAATTTCCATTTTTTCACCTTCATATTTTGATACACTGTCAACTTCCGTCTCCTTATTCCAATATAACTATATACTAACTAACTGGGACTCGAATCCAGTACCATTCACTTCAAATGCCATCGCACCATCCACTCAGCTACTGAGTCTTGATAGCCACTAGATAGTCCAATGAGATGAAGTTTAAATTCATTTGCCTTGTTTGTTTATACCTTACTGTCAGTTTTTATGACTTCAGTTGATCAGTCACTTATAATGCTTGTGAATTAAGGCGCTATCGTTGTAATCCGCACGGAATGCGCATATGCCATTATGAGACTGATCAATTGAACCCCGAAACATTAATGGTAAGATATAAACAAACAGTACAAAACTGTTATTACTTACTTTGATTACTATAATTTTTTAACATCTGATGACAATATTATTTTACTGTCACTGTAACATGATATGATTATTTTATTACGCAACTACATGGAATTCATCATTTCATCGTTATAAATCATATATACACGTTCATTCAATGTAGTTTAAGCACAAAAGTAAGATTTCAGTTTTTATATTATTTATTGAACTGAGTGGAAAACCGTTTTTAGAGGATGGTACTTTGTGTATTTTTACTTTTTATAATACTATGATTTAGTGGTGATAAGTATCTGTCAATAAATGAACGAGTATTCCATATGAAACTCAAATGAACTCACCAACGCAAAGATTGTCTATTGGAAATCGAAAGTAAACACCAGTGAAGTTTATTGTTATGGGGTTCATTAATTTACATTCAGTTAAGTAATTATGAATAAACCAGTGAAACACATCAGATCAAAAATATTTACTTACCAGCATAATCTGTAATCAAAACAGTAAAATAATTTTTACTGGACATTGTATGACGGAAGTAACCAAAGATTATTTAAAATACTGATTTTGTAGTTCAACATATTACGGTGTAAAACTTTAGATAACTGGATGGAGTGGTTCTTAGAAGTTAATGTATGGTCAGGATATTTCATCCACCATTCAAACTGTTAAGACATGATTCTGTAATTTAACTTTAAGTGTATTCAAATAACTGAGACCAAATAATCGTGAATATTATCAGCATAAAGGTTAGTGGTGGTCGCATTAATTTCACGGTTGACATCACGAATCATACTAGATCGATTGGAGTTAGACATCAGCACAGTTGGATGCCAGCTCACTGATCTGGAGGTCAAGCGTTCGCGCGCAAAACTGAAGGTTGAAGGTTCAAGTTTTCGGTTCGGGATCGCGTCTGAGCACTACTTAGGAGTCCTCCCGTGGTTTGACACATGCCGTACATTATACAAAACGACATGACCTTTACTAATTTGCTTAATTATTAAAACATGGTGTTCAGGAAACGTTATTAATAATCGTAGATGAATGCCTTTGGTTACGATGAGCTCCGCGCATGTACGAAATTGGGAGTTAATGTCATACGTTGAACACCGAGTTGTAATCATATATGAAAAGGATAGAAAGCAAACACATTCGAGTTATTCGTTTGGGGTGAACATAACTACCAACGATTATCTCCCGACTAATTTTAAGTTTTACTGATCGATTGCCTTGTACAATTGTCGATGTAAATAACCAGAATCGTTTATTCGTTAATAAAAGTTAGCTGTAACTGTGCTTCCAAAATGAGCTGGACTAATATAGCGTAAGTAAATTCATCATATTATTCTAGCAATTCTCTGTCTTCCCGATATTGATAGCATTACACGATAGTTATTTGAAAAACACCTTGAGATTGTTTGTTTGAATTACAACCGGTTTCTAATTTTTTTTAAAGTTTGTTTTCTGATAAAATGTTTAATCTTAAAAACATGAATATGGGATTATTTCGAAGCTCTGTGTTCAGCAGATTTATCGACTCTACGTAGTTCAAAAATCATTACTTCTACGAAGTCACACAAGACTGAAAGAAGATTTTACATTAGTGCTAACAATATTAAAACCTATTCATTAGAAAACCTATATCATGAAAACGACTGCATATTGTCACTGTAAAACAAAACGAATTTATGTTTTTAAACTTTGTTACTTGATATATGAATCAACTCTTTTTTATCTTAAAAATCATAAACTTCACACATAAAATAAAACGTACTGCAACATCTAAACTCTGTGAAGTGTGTAATGTGAAAATAAATCGTCATTTAAAACACTTACATGTTACATTAAAGAATATTATTTTGATATAGTTTATTAACAATAAATGGGATTTAGCTATCAGTAGAGTCCAAAATGCTAATTTCGTCATGTTTACAACTCGTTAACTCAATGTTCATGCAATCCAGAGTTGATATTTTTTGCTGGCTTTTGCACCCATCTCCTATCGCTTCAAACGAGAACATGTTACCAACAAAAAAATATGTGATGCGGAGATACGTATCAGATAAGCCTAAAATAGCACCTATCCCGTGTCCTTAATTATAGTGCTTGCCTCATAATATCTAATCTACATAAACGTGTATCATAATGATGATATAGAGGCATCCCGCATCGGGAGAGCGCAAACCAAATAAGACGTATGAAGTTTCTGTAAAAATATCACCAATGCGATCAATCAAAACTTTATAAATTAAATCAAAATGTAGTTATTTGTTAAGCGTAAACGAAAACGCGGTTTAAGACAACAGTGAGATTTGATACGATTACTTACTTTTGTGACTAACTGAAATAATACGAATAAAAACGTTCATCAAACTTTATTGACTAAGGATTTCATCATTTCGTAAAATATAGATTGAATATGCTCAAGGTTTTTAAGCTACATATGCTATCAAATGTTCGGTCGTATTCAATTTATTTGTTGATTCGCCGTAAATATCTTTCCTTATTGTTACACGTAATTTTTATAACACAGTCAGTTCCTCTGTTTGTGAACATCAAACACTCATATTACTGGTTACTGCATATGAATGAGTAGAAAAACAGTCCTTCATCTCATATTTGTAAAAAATGATAGATTACCTATAATTCACGTTTTGCTGAAACATATAACTGATCACATGTAATCTCAGATAAATGAAATCTACTCCAAACATGCGTTAAAACTTACTATTACAATTGAGATCTGTTGCAAAGAAAAGCAGAATCAACATAATGAATATATGTTTCAGGTGTTTACACATTATAAATCATTTAAAATGTGGCTGAAATAATGAGAAGCTTTCCTCCGAAATCAGTAATGAAATGCATTATTGTGATCATGAGCAAGTGAACTGGAACTGAATGGATCAATAATATTTTTCCGTAATAACAAACTGAAACTTTCTTGTGTCAATCAACTCCACAAATTGTCTGTTTGTCTGATTACCACTATGAGACAAGCTGAATTATTCAGTAGCTTACAATGCGAAATAATATGAAGAAAATCAAGAATACACCTTCCTGAACTACAATTATCCTGTGACGAATTTCCATTTTCAACTCACCTAAATTGTGTTCCATATTCGATAGACAACAGATGGATGTTGCACGTGTTGAAATGTATTTACACTGAAGTGCATATACATTTCTTATTGTTGCTAAGACCTGATTGTTTACATTGAAACTAAATATTATTTAAAAATAAAAGGTCAAGTAGACTAGAAATGGAGGATAAGAGGAGACAAGGATAATAATCAGATTGATCCTAACTCGGCTTTTGTGGTGTTGCATAAAAGTGTAAAATGGCGTATACTAAGGTTTATTGAAGCATTAGTGATACAAAAAATCAAACTCCCTTTGTGTATTCAAAAACGGTTCGTTCTCATATTAAAGTTCCCGCAATAATATTGGCTTATTATCCATAGTGATGAGGTTCTATGTTGTTTTCACAATATTTCTTTATTATACTTGTCTCCTCATACCCCTCCATTTCCAGTCTAGTTGACCTTTTATTTTTATATATAAATGTTCTGAACAAGTATATGTATGATCAGATTCTTGAAGTGTATTGTGCTAATTTATCACATAGTTCTGATAATCTTCGTTTACTTATTACACTATCGAAATTTATCAATGGGACTAATTGCTTCAACAGATATTTAATTTATTCAGATTGAAAAATTAATGTGATTACATACATTTACGAATGACACACGAGTATTAACTTACAATACACTGATTCCGATGAAGTCAATATGTATAGATAAATGAGATACAACAACAGAATGTTTAGTAATACTGGTATATACAAAACGTGAATATTGTACTAACAAATGGAATAATTGTTCATGGAAGGTAACTGGAAGAATTTCTAAATTGTCTTTGATTTATTCTAAGAAAATTGAAGCGTTTATGTTTAGATCAGTAGTAAAAACTAGTCAGCTTCTTATTCTCATTAGAAGGAATGGTAAAATATGTAAAATTTATACAACCTACATCAGTGTGAAGTTAATAATGTATACACCCTATGAATTTTTTTAATGATTTCTTTATTTCATTACAGCTAAGATCCTTTCAATGTATGAAAACAGTAGATTGTCAAAATTTCAACTAATTGTTGGTTGGGAGGGAATGATCTGTGGGAGAACAACTGTAGCTATACAATCTCTTTTATAAACGATCAAAAAATCCATTAGTTTATTAAAAACAAGACATCAGTTATACCGCTATTTTTTAAGACTATTATGGAAGTGCATTTGCATTAACTTAATGGATTAGTTTGACAACATTGTGACAATTGGTTCATAGGAAGAGAAAGCAGAATTTATAACTTACAATTTTCAAAATCTAATTTAAGAACGTGTTTTGAAAAATTTGTCAATTCAAATGTTCACGAAGTTTCAACTTCGATAAAAAAGAAACTGACGATATCTAAATTCCTTCAAAAATGAAAAAAATTACTCATTCAATAACTTGTAGGTTTAGTCAAATAATCTTTGAAGACATGCTAGTCCAAGATCCTTTCCAGCTTTATATACGACTCATCAAAACTTTTCTTCATCGAAGTCCATTGAGGGAAACATGAGACATTGTCTGCAATTTGTAGGACTTCATGAAATCCTAAGAAAACGTTCTTTATGAACATTGAATTTGACGGTGATAATGCTTCAGAAATTTCGAATGAAATCAACAGACTGCATCTTTGAGAAAATGTTTCATGTCTCATAGCTTTTCATCTCATTTTTAGCCATCCTAACACTCTTCGATGTACCAAAGACGAACACCTGTATCAGGCAATATCACCATGTCTTCACATGTGTATTCGCTGTTCTTTAATAGATGACATTACTCAATCAAAGTGAATACTTTCCAAAGGCAATTTTGTGTTTGATTGTGCATAGGCTTATAAAAACATTTGTTAAATAATCTATAATTCAGTATTTAAACATCTCGTTAACTCTCGTCACCCTGCATCAACAGATAAATAATTTAAAATTATACAAACAGCCAAACAATTTTTTCCGAAGAACACATTACTAACTCGTACATTTTGGAGAGTTTAGCAATTCATTCTTTGAGTACTGGGCTAATGCCTCACGAACACATAAATCCTTCAAGTTCTTAAAAGCCTGACTGTTCATATATGGTAAATGGATTATTTCTAACTTTTACAAATGATCTAATTGTTCACTTTTCAACTATCTGCTATCAATACTAAGTTTTTAATTTATTACTCAATTTTGAATGTTCGTCAACCTTTCCCACCTCAAGTTTCATTTTATCATCCTTTTAAGTATTCAGTGATCAACTGTTGGGTTTTAATGCTTGAAATTATATCATTTTCTTTTTATTGCTGACTACACAAATTTGTCATTTAATTCTAAATACGACTGAACATAAATCGTGAATCATTTCTTGGAAAAACTATCTCCTCGCTGAAATATCAGTCCTCATTCTATTATGGAATATTTTGGAAAATGAAAAAACAAAATGGAGCATCTCATATTGATAAAAAATTGGATGGATTCGGGATCTATTTATGATTTATTAAACATCAATCGAAGCATTTTTAATTACTTCAACAGTACCAACTAGTCACCGTTTCGGTTTGCATAATGAGACTGAATAAAAGTGGAAAGTTTTAAAACATCGTTTGGTTACTTTAAAATTCATCAATTTGGGTTTAGCTGAATGTCGTTTGTTTGTTTGCCATAAAAAAATAGTTGATCCTTAAATGTATTCTTGATTTACTTATGTCCGAATCTAACTGAATTTAGATAATTAAATTCAAGTAGTTACAATTGAAATAGAAAGAGCTTAACTTACCCCATGCATAATCTGATTAGTGAAAAGCATTTAGCCAGAGATATTTTCACGCCACACCTCAAAATATTACTGATGCAAGTGAAACGTAAACAATTTTAAGAGGATAAATAATAAAACCTTTTTGTTATTCAACACATAGTGAATGGAGTCTCTATTCGTTTTTAATTTAACCGACAAAACTTATAGCGTTGCGATGTAAATTAGTGGTAATAACTGAATGCTGTTCTGATTCTCATCATGATACAAGTTGAAACATGCAAATGTCCGCAATTTAAAATAGCATGACTGAAATGAATATTCCACTGTCTGAGATATCAATGACGCTGTCAAATACTCTTCATTTTAAATCCGTCCACATACTGTTCCTATTTGGTGAGAATCAAACTGATGTTACACATGGTGCTATTTACTAGGGAAATAATCCGTGTGTTAAAATAGAAGATAAAACTCAACAAATCACCATTTCGGAAAGTCTGCTTTTTAAAGAGAAAAGAATCTACAAACTTGTATGTTTTTCTAGATGTCAGGTATAGTTTTCTGCTTCGGATCTGCAGTTGGGTGAATATAAGTTTCTATTTGTTTAAATTATATCCACCTGTCATAAAGTCAATAGAAATCATGCACCTCATAGTTTTAACTTTTCAGATGTTTTTAAACGAAATTCATATGCACAACTTACTCTTTGTTGGCCCTGAATAAAAGAAATGTATTTGGTTTAATTTTGCACTATAGGGTTTTGTTATATCATGACAGGAACAAACCAGTGGATTATTTCATTCTTATCATGAAAAAACCTGAATTATCCAGTTGATTGCAATGTGCAACAATGTGAAGAAAATCAAGAATACACCTTACTAAACTACAATTAACTCGTTCAGAATATCCATTTCCAACTCACCTAAATTGTGTTTCTTATTCGATAGACAAAAGTTGGATGTTGGATTTGTTGAAAAGTATATACACCGCACTGAACAAACGACAACGGCGAGGACAACATCACAAAAGTTTAATACGACCTTTCTTCGAGATGCTGACAAACTCAACAAATTCAACATAGCCCTCAACAACAGGTTCGAGGCCTTTCATGATCTACTCAATAGAGATGGAACTACCATGGAGAGCAACTGGAAAGGTATTAACGAGGCAATCATTTCAACATGTCAGGAGGTTCTGGGCCAAAAGAAGCACCATCACAAGGAATGGATCACTGTTGGTACACTGGATAAAATTGAAGAAAGGAGGAACAAGAAGGCAGCAATCAACACCAGCCGAACCAGAGCGGAAAAAGCCAAGGCACAAGCCGAATACACAGAGGCAAACAAGCAAGTGAAGAGGAGCATCAGAACCGACAAACGTAAATATGTAGAAGATTTAGCAACGACAGCGGAAAAGGCTGCAAGAGAAGGAAACATGAGACAATTGTATGATACAACAAAGAAACTTGCTGGAAATTACCGTAAGCCAGAAAGACCAGTGAAAAGCAAGGAAGGCAAAGTAATCACCGACATTGAAGAACAACGAAACAGGTGGGTAGAACACTTCAAAGAACTCTTGAATCGACCAGCCCCACTGAACCCACCCAACATCGAAGCAGCACCCACGGACCTCCCAATCGATATTGGCCCACCAACAATTGAAGAGATCAGCATGGCCATTAGACAAGTCAAGAGTGGCAAAGCAGCGGGACCAGACAACATCCCGGCAGAGGCACTGAATGCAAATGTAACAGCAACTGCCAAGATACTCCACATCCTCTTCAGTAAGATTTGGGACGAAGAACAAGTACCAACAGACTGGAAAAAAGGACTTCTGATCAAGATACCAAAGAAAGGCGATCTGAGCAAGTGCGATAACTACAGGGGCATCACTCTTCTCTCAATACCAGGAAAAGTCTTCAACCGAGTATTGTTAAACAGGATGAAGGATTCCGTAGATGCCCAACTTCGAGATCAACAAGCTGGATTTCGTAAGGATAGATCGTGCACAGATCAAATCGCAACTCTGCGGATCATTGTGGAACAATCAATCGAATGGAACTCATCACTCTACATCAACTTCATTGACTACGAGAAGGCATTTGATAGCTTGGACAGGACCACACTATGGAGGCTCCTTCGACACTACGGCGTGCCTGAGAAGATAGTCAATATCATACGGAACTCCTATGATGGACTAAACTGCCAAATTGTCCACGGAGGACAACTCACCGACTCGTTTCAAGTAAAGACCGGTGTGGCAAGGTTGCTTACTCTCACCGTTTCTCTTTCTCCTGGTCATCGACTGGATTATGAAGACGTCAACATCTGGAGGAAATCACGGGATACAGTGGACAGGCAGGATGCAGCTTGACGATTTAGACTTCGCGGATGATTTGGCTCTTCTATCACAAACGCAACAACAAATGCAGGAGAAAACGACCAGTGTAGCAGCAGCCTCAGCAGCAGTAGGTCTCAATATAAACAAAGAGAAAAGCAAGACTCTCCGATACAATACAACATGCACCAATCAAATTACACTTGACGGAGAAGCGTTGGAGGATGTGGAAACCTTTACATATCTGGGTAGCATCATCGATGAACACGGTGGATCAGATGCAGATGTGAGGGCAAGGATCGGCAAAGCAAGAGCAGCATATTTACAACTGAAAAACATCTGGAGCTCAAAACAATTGTCAACCAACACCAAGGTTAGAATTTTCAATACAAATGTCAAGACAGTTCTACTGTATGGGGCGGAGACGTGGAGAACTACAAAAGCCATTATCCAGAAGATACAAGTGTTCATCAACAGCTGTCTACGCAAAATACTTCGGATCCGATGGCCAGACACTATCAGCAATAAGTTACTGTGGGAGACAACAAACCATATTCCAGCGGAGAAAGAAATCAGGAGAAAGCGCTGGAAGTGGATTGGGCACACCTTGAGGAAATCAGCTAATTGCGTCACAAGACAAGCCCTCACATGGAATCCTGAAGGTCAAAGGAGAAGAGGAAGACCAAAGAACACATTACGCCGAGAAATAGAGACAGACATGAGGAGAATGAACAAGAACTGGATAGAACTAGAAAAGGATGCCCAGGACAGAGTGGGTTGGAGAAAGCTGGTCGGCGGCCTATGCTCCATTGGGAGTAACAGGCGTAAGTAAGTAAGTAAGTAAGCACTGAACAAACATTGTGGTTTACTTATTAAACCAATGCTAAGAACTAATTGTTTAGATTCGAACTGATTAATATTTTGAAAGCAACAAAATAGTTCGTTGATGGTAAACGACTGTATTCGATTACATGAGGAAGGTCGGTAAACAACTGTTAGTTTATCAAATATTGTGCAATCAATATAACACTCTTGTTCGTTATCTGTAAAAAAGTCATTAAATTAAAATAACTGAACATTCTCAATATATTGCAGTGATAAATGTTCTAAATTAAGACACAGAGAATAACTTACGAGTTTTCTGACCTGTTAACATATAAATTGTTTGGTACGTTCATTGATAAAAACGTTGTGTTCATTTTCACAATTCGCGTAGATGAAGAACAATATATAGATGACAGTTTAACATTTGGTTCAATATTCAACACTACAGTATTAGTAACCATAAATTGAAAATGCTTAATAATTGTTTTTAATTCATCCTAAAGAAATCGAATTGCTTCAGTTTGAATCGATGGTACAAGCTCGTTACTGTCCCAGTTCTTGAAATTAGACGTGATGAAGTAAGCTTTTTTTTACAACATTTAAGAAGAAATAAGCCTCAGTGGACTACAATGATTCTGTTGAAAATTAATCATTACCATTCAGCTAATGCTGTTCATTTTTCAATAAATTGAAGCAAGGCATTGAAAATGGTGCAAATTAAGAGAAATATGTTTAGAAGAAAAATGTACAGGATATGACTTACTTCCCCCATTGGCTGTCATTTTTAAAAATAATCATTTGGTACGTCATTATTTACTTCCATAAATTTTGACTTTAAACAAGGTAAACTAGAAAGAAATATCCCAATAAACAATGAAACAACCCGATCAACACTTAAAACCCCATAGTAGCATACGGAACCTTAATGAATTCTTAGTTCATATCTGACTCATTGTAGCGTTACCATTAAAGCCAGTAGCACTAATTCGTCACTGTTTCAGTTCGCAAAGTCTCGCAACATCATGAAAAGAATGAAAGAATTCACACTCTATGTGTACGATAATGCCACAAGCATATCGATATTTTTAATTCACCTGAATTCCTTTATTATTTTATAAACAACCTCCTTTGTGTTCAGTTGATTGATCTTTTACAAACACGTTTTATATTAATATGTAAAATCAAGTGAAATATCATGTATCGTTGCATTTCTACAAATGAATCACGAATTATTGACTTACTGGAACCGGCATCTAATAAAACCAAAACGTTGGATTTTATTGATTAGTTACGAGTTTTTGAATGTAACCTGTATTAAGGAAACATGATAGTATCAATCACTGTTTCTAGGTACTTTGTTGAATCAGTGGAATTGTAAATCATATACGATTGTTTAGAATGGGTTTTTTTAAAACCAAAACTAAGACTTGGTTTTTAACATAAGTAATGGATTTGTAATATTATCAACTCAAATTTATTGGCTGCATGAAACATTTCAAAACCTTTTACAGTTCATTACTTTCAAGTAAAGAAAGTATATCTGACTATAATTTGAACACCACTAAGCTTGAAAAACTAATCAAACTTCTATAATACGATAACAATATCAACAGATGTACTGTCAGAACTATAAGGATCCAATTCTTCTGGATTGTGATTATTCACAACTTTTATAAAATAAACTTTCAACCATTTCAAATGTTTGTATTGAAAATAAATATATAGTTTAGTGTTTTATAGATACAAATAGACTTATATTTCCAACATTTAATTAACTTACAAATAGAAGTTGTAATAAGTAGTAGGATGACACAGAAGATAGCTAAACAACCTGAAGTAGATGATTTCATATTGTTGTTTTGGCGATTTAATAAGCAGATAGTTCTCTCATATATTTATACTGAATATATGACAGAATACATGATATTCATGTGACAATTAAATGTGAAATTTTATTCATCATAAGTGATTTGTGCTTATTATTATAATAAATTCATGGTTTTTATCAAATTCACATTCACATTTATGTGAATGTTTATCTACTCCACTGCCAATTGTATCTTTCTATAATAAAGAAATATATGAATGTTTACTTATAGCAACATAAGTGATAGGTTTGAATGTACTTTCATAAATGTCCAAGAACATATTTCACGTCATATAATTGTAAACATAATTCGTAAGTGAACATATCTTATACGATTGATCCGCAAGGATTAGTGAAAGCAAGTATAACGTGAATAGGTATTTGATTGAATAACATTTGCCTGAAAAACGAACCATGAGGCTTGGAAATAATTAGTCAGATGAGAGAAATTAGATTACTAACTTAAAATTCTCATTCAATCGTTGAGATACAATTTCGAATGATTGCATGTCATAACTAGATCATGATCCACTGCTTTAAACCAGGAAATATCATTGAATGAATAGAATAGAAATAGAAAGTAGATTAAAATGTAAAAAATAATAAATGGCTGCTTATTTCGATTTCCAACATTCTAGTTGATTGATCTGCAATTTTCACTATACTGTAAGCAAAATTTAATAAGCCAAATAATGGAATCGTTTCAGTAGCTAATTAATCTGAAAATCTCGCCTAAACCATACAAAGTTAGAGGAAAATGATTGCAAAGTATTTGTTATTCATGGTAGCATGATAAAATAAAAAAAAATTCAGTGTTGTGTGTACATTCTAAGTCCATCAACTTCAGCTTTCTTATTGAACATTTTTTAAGTTGGGTAAAAAACGAACAACGGATATTGGTATACTGCATATATTCTATTTGATCCTCGAACAGGTTCCTATGAGGACAAGTGATTTGACTTCACCAGATTTAGGTGTATCAATCTTAGAAATTGCCTGGATTTTCAACTGATTGGAATCATAGAGCACTTTTTCAAGTGACCGTAATTGGACAAGGTATTTATATTCAACGATAAAGAGACACAACAATTATCTAAGCCATGATATAGCTTATTTAATAAATACACCGACTTTCTTGAGTACATTTTTCAGTGATTTTGGTGCTTAAGCAAGTCTGTCTTACATTCTAACTAATGACGTTTAAAAGTTGAATAACTGTTTAGGTTAGCAAAGTCACATACTCTTGATCAGTCAGAATGTAAAACAAAGCGGTTGGATCATGGTTTGCTCAAAACAATTGTAATCTTTATGTTATTTAATAAATAATCGTTCAATAAACTCGAATAATTAAATCAGTTCCAAAAAATAAACAAGAATATTAATCTGTCCTTTCTGGATTATATATGTACGCTTTGTTCAAACAGTAATATTAAACTTTGTTACAACAATGCATGCTACCAGATCTGAAAGTTTGCTTTCATTTGAAATCAAAACGTAAAATTTTAGACACTTTAAAGTGTAGAATCAAAAATTCAACTAACCAATATGGCAGCCTTTATAACCAAATTATGAAAAAGAAATTGACATGGTTTGTGAGAATCAAAGACTTTAGGCAGAAACGTAAATAAATAAGTAGTAACCAAATCATGTGAGTCGCAATATCAACAGAATGCACTGATCAATAGACGACGAAGTATACCTCCATGCTTAAGAGTAAAATAACAAGTTAAATTTTAAAAAATAGTTTTCTAAGGAAATCTTATAAACGGATTCACTAAACGTCCAATAGAGATCTAATAGGCCAAAGATGTTGAAATTCACAGGATGGAAACCTTTATCCGGTTTTGAAAGTTTGTCCAGCATACTGACTGTATGTCGATGGATTTTGATATGCTGGCGTAACAAAATAGGTTGATTATTTGAGAGTTGGTCACAAACTTCTTAGGAACGTCAAAACATAATTGCTGAAGTATTCATTCACTTTCATATTTTCTATAGAAATTTGTTTGCATTTTATCTTATACTGAATGCTCGGAAATTTTGTATTTAAAAAAAGATAACATTGAGTTTTAATTGTTCTTTACCACGATCAAAATAAAGATTTATTCACACTAATTTGGCTTCTTCTATGGATAAAATGAGGGTTAATCACCAGCACAAAATTGGTGAGCCCCATTTTGTTCACAAAATTCGATTTTTGCTTTGCCCATTTTTTTGGTTTGGTTGTAAAAGCAAATAATTTATGGTTCAGATAATAGTTCAATTGACAGATATGAAGAAAAGCGACAAACACAAAGGTCATAATAATAATAATAATCTGAGTAATAATCAAGAAAACTTGTATAAGGTAATAATAATAATAATCACTGATTAGAGTTTCAATGTAAAAACAAAAAAAACCGATAATAATCAAATAAAAGTACAGAGAAAAAAACAAAAAAAAACAACCGAAAATCGTACCCAATGAGGGAATTAGGGCCAAGGTAGGGTAAGAGGTTGGACAAATCGTTTCTGCACGCAAAGTTCAGGCTTGAATTCATGGATTGCCAATGCCTCAGCAGTGAATAAAATATTGATTAGACCTCCCTTTTATCCGGTTCCTTTAACTCTATAGATTATTTTAAAAGACGTGTCTTTTGGAGCAATGTGTCCACAATTGATCAAATGCTCTTGTATCGAACTGGTTGTCTTTTTACATTCACCTTTTAGGAGCCAAGCTGGATAGTGTTCAGAGATACGTTTGGAAAGCGATCGCTTTGTGCTGCCTATGTAACGTGCTCCACATGAGCAAGTAAATTTATAAATACACATCGATGTGGCCCACAGCGAAAGTTTATCCTTAACACCCTCCCGAATGGTAGGTCGGCTAGAGAAAACGATTTGAAGCTTGGCTGTGTAGAAAGTTTTATTCAGCTTTTTTGAAATCCGTTTATTCAAGATTTCAGTGTCTCCCTTGAATTCCATACTCATAAAGAAGTTTTTCTTCTGCACTGTCAAAGTTATTTCTTGCTGACGTCTAGATGTTAAGTTGCTAACGACGTACCTCGGTGGATAACCGTTTTTGATGAGGGTTTGTCGAAGATGAAGTAGTTCTTCATTTATTGTGTCATTAGAACGGATTCACTTAATCCTAGATGATAAAGAGTGAATTAAGTTCCTCTTTCGACTCAGTGGAACCCAACTATGGAAATTCGTGTATTTTCCATTCCAAGTAGGTTTTCTATGTATAGATCTTTGTAAATAACCATTAGGCAATCTTTTCACAAAGACATCAAGAAAATGGAATTCATGGTTCGATTCTGCCTCTAAGGTAAATTGAATTGAAGGGTGACAGTTATTGAAAATATTTAATATTTCATCGTGGTCTATGTCATCATCACAAATAATGAAAGTATCATCCATATATGTCTTATATAAATGAAGTCTCTCGATTATTGGACGAAGTGCTGAATTTTCTAGATTGGCCATGAAACAATCAGCCGAAAGAGGACCCGATGGGGAGCCCATTGCAACTCCATCTGTTTGTCTATAGAAACCATCATTAAATTTAAATTGTATGTTGAGCGTGCATCGTAGAAGTGGTTCTTTAAGATGGTGTTTTGGGATACATTTCCCAGATTATTGTTTTCAATATAGTCAAATAAAAAACAAATAGTTTCTGTGAGAGGAACATTTGTGAACAGCAAAGTGACATCTAATGAGAGCATTTTCTTACCAATTACGTTGATATTTCTAATTGAGTCGAGAAATTCAAAGAAATCAAGAGAATTGTATTTTTTTAATATGATTTTTAACAGTTTGTAAAATGTCAACTAACCATTTAGCAATACAGTGATCTGGAGAGTTGTTCATATCATTATTATTATTATTATTATTATTAATTATCAAGTAAATGACGTAAAGGGACATTATTCTTATGAACATTTTGGAGTCCATATAGTCTAGGTACGACAGAACCCGATGGTTTGAGATGTTCAAAGTGGTCACAATTGATAATGAACTCATCTTTCATCTTCTTTAGGACTTTAATTTGTGTCATTTTGTGTGTCATTTGTGTCATTTTGGACGGTTTCTTTATAGAATTTGACCGGATCAGATAGTGTCGAAGATATTTTTGAAATATAGTCAAGGCGATCCATAAGTAAAATTCCTGCACCCTTGTCTGTGCGACATAACACTAAGACCCTCATCAAAGATGGTTATCCACCAAGGTTCGTCAATAGCAATCAATCACCTACACTTCAGCAAGAAAAAGCTTTGACAATGCATAAGAAAAACTAGTGGTGAGTGTTCCCCTAAATCATTAGCTCATTAAGTCTTCGACATTGGATGCTGACCACATTTGTTTAAGTGGACTTGCTTAACTGAATGCTTTCGGTCATGCATCCGTATCAGACCACGTTTCGAACCAGAGTTGGACACTGATCCTCCATTCACTATCCAGATTAGATCAAACGCTTCTAGATATATTGTTAACGTATAAAATGTATCTTTCCGATCTCTTGGCATCTGACTTCTGATTTCATTTGGTTGGGGAAAGCTTCGTATATATAAGGTGCCACTGGTAGCAGGTTGTAAAATCAGAATACTGGTCGTATCTTCAATTACTATTCTATGTTTTTAAATGTATTCGTTTTACTCAACTTCTGAACTCGTTTGTTTGCGTCAATATTCTCGGACATTTTGGTTTTCCTTTGTATTTGATTTGGTATATGAGAGTTTTTGCTCGGAGAACTTAAAAATTTGAAGGTTTGTTTCGTAATTGTCATAATTATTGTGAGAACAAAATTTGGGTAGACGATTTGTAAATTGCGAATAAACTTTAGTGCCTAAATTGGAGCTTGGTTTTCATTGTTAATTCAGGTCCTTAAGTTGGATGAACACGATGGATGTGACGCAGATGTGAATGTGCGGATCGGAAAAGCAAGAGCAGCATATTTACAACTGAAGAACCTCTGGAACTCAAAACAATTGTCAACCAGCACCAAGATCAGAATTTTCAATACAAATGTTGTTATATCTAGAGCCTTGATTCTTAATATGCCGCGAACTACTTGACTACTTGAACGATAGAACCCGCAACGTCGCAAAGAGAGAAGACAAAGACTGGTAAGCAGGAAGTTTATTGCCCCGAACAATGTCAAAATATAGCACAGAAATCTCGTGTATTTATAGTTTTTGGCTGAAAGTAAATTATCATTTAGGTCAACCAATAAGCACATAGGTATCAAACTAATCCATCCAATGGGGAAGCTCCACGTTGGCATTTCTAGAACATTCCCCTAGCCCTGATTGGATGGAATGTCTGCGGCTCTTCCTGGGCTTCCTAGAGCCTCCTCGACTTCACCTGTGGACCATCCTCACACCTCCCTCCTTTAAAGTCTGTTGTATAAGTCCTTTTTCTCGGATCCACCTGGAATTGAGTTACCGCGATTCTCTTGCGACTCATTACTCTCGAAGGTTGTGTCGCGTTGCTCTTGCGTCTTTTATCTTTTCTACCTTCGCGCGCCTGAGTGCTTTTTGGAGACGAATCCATGAGCAAATGAAATGGGAGCCGGCTTTGTGGCATCCATGTTCTGCCATCCCTTCGAATTTGATTGATGTGTCTTATACAAGTACCGACATTTCTTCGGATTAAATACAATACGCTTCCAATTCGACGCTCTATAATACCTGGTTCCCACCTTTTTCCTCCTTGATACGATTTAACGAGTACCCTTTCACCCACCTTGAAGCTACGAGTGACCATATGGTTTCCATTCGTGGGTTTTCTTGTCTTTCTAGGTGGCAACATACTGCTAAAGATTGTTCGAATTTTCCTTCGGAACATACACTCGGCTGGTGACTTACCTTCGGGTACTGCCGGATTGGGGGTAACTCTGTAAGACAAAAGGAACTTGCTGATTACTTGTTCTGGGATGGCCTCTCCTCCCCCTTTAACTAGAGCTCGTTTTATAGTATCCACGAATCTTTCTGCTTGGCCATTCGACTGAGGATGGTACGGGGGAGACTGTAGATGTGATATGCCATTTTCAGTGCAAAACCGTTTAAAGACAGATGACATGAACTGGGTGCCGTTGTCAGTCACTAAGATCTCAGGAACCCCAAAACAAGCGAACAAACCTGTCAATTTTCTTATAGTACTCTCTGACGTCATTTTCGGCATGTCGTATACTTCTGGCCATTTCGTGAAGGCGTCGACAACAACCAAGTAATTTCTGCCTTGTATTGGGCCGGCAAAATCAGCGTGTATTCTTTGCCAGGGACCGTCTGGTTTTGGCCATGGTTGCGGTTCAGCTTTATTTGGGTTCTTTGCGGCCTCTAAACAGGACGAACAACTGCGACATTTTTGCTCTATATCATGGTCCATTGATGGCCAGTATGCGTAGCTTCGAGCTAACGACTTCATTTTACTTATCCCCGGGTGTCCGCTGTGGAACTGCTTAAGGACTTGGTTTCGAAGATTTCTGGGGATGACGATACGGTGGCCAAACATGATGCAGGAATCTACAATTGTCAATGAGTCTCGTCGACGGAAAAATTGCAAGGGTTCTCCATTTAGTCTCGACGAAGGCCACTTGTTGAGTATGCAGCGGCGAACAAACTTCAACACGTTATCTTTCTCACTAGCTCCTTTAATAGCTTCGAATGTGACTGGAAGTCCGGAAACTGCGCCTGTTAATACTGTGTGAACCTCGGCCTCAACATGTACGGCAGCCACGAGCACCTCCTCTTCTTGTTTTGTACGGGAACTAATTAGTCTTGAAAGGGCATCTGCCTGTCCAAAATCCGTTGTTGGTTGGTACTTTATCTTGAAATCATAGCCCAGTAGTGTCGTTGCCCATCTCTGTAGACGGTTTGCTATATATACAGGTATACCTTTTTTCGATCCAAAAATTGTCAGCAGCGGTTTATGGTCTGTTAGTAGGGTAAATTGTCTGCCAAATAGCATCTTGTGGAACTTCTTTACTGCGAATATAATAGAGAGGGCCTCTTTTTCTATCTGACTATAGTTTCTTTCTGTCATAGTCAGCGACCGTGCAGCGTGGGCGATTGCCTTCTCAGACCCGTCTGGGTAGGTATGTGCGATCACTGCGCCGATTCCGTAGTTGGACGCATCTGCTGCGACTACGATGGGAAGCTCTGGATCATAGTGTGTGAGTAGAAGGTTTGATGACAGGAGCTGTTTTAGTTTTACGAAAGCTTCTTGGCACTCAGATGACCAAAACCATTTGGTATCTTTTTTCAGCAACCCATTAAGAGGAGCACGAAGGCGATGCAGTTCTGGAAGAAAAACTCCATAATGACTAACCATTCCCAAGAAAGAGCGTAAAGTTGACACATCAGTTGGTGGAGGCATGGACTTGATAGCCTCGACGTTTTCAGGATCAGGTTTTCTTCCGTTTTTATCAATTATGAATCCCAAATAGCGGACTTGTTCCATGTAGAAATCACATTTTTCAGCACGTAATGTAAACCCAAAATCTGCTATGCGTCTGAGAACCATATCTACCTTCTTCTCCAGGTCAGCATAGTCTGTACCCATGATCAGTATGTCGTCAAGATAGGCCGCAGTACCAGGAATATCTTGTAGCATAGTATCCATAACTTGTTGAAAGATTGAAGGGTCAGTCTTTACTCCAAACGGAAGTCTATTATATCGAAACAACCCTTTATGAGTGTTTATTGTCAAGTAATGTTTGCATTCTTCCGCTACTGGAATCTGTAAATATGCTTCTGATAGGTCTAGTTTTGCAAAATACTTACCCCCGTTAAGTTTCGCAAATAAGTCTTCTGGTAATGGTAAGGGGTACTGATGATCTTCAAGTGCGTCATTTAATCCAGTGGAATAGTCTGCACATAATCGAATACTTCCATTAGGCTTTTTAACAATTACTATTGGAGCTGCCCAATCAGAAAAGTTCACTGGTTCTATAATTCCACTTTTTTGCAGTCGTTCTAATTCTTGTTCAACAATCGTTAGAGCTGCGTAGGGCACAGGTCTTTTGGGTCGAAAAACGGGAGTAGCACCAGGTTTGAGGATTAACAAAGCTTTGGCCTTCGTACATTCTCCCAATTCTTCTTTAAAAAGGTTGTGATGTCTTTGCGGCACGGTACTTTTCTGGTTACACCTTGAGGACTTGTCAATAGTCACTCGTCTGCAGATGCTATTAATAGAATGATCTGCTAGCTTAAGAGTTTCTATTAGATCAAGTCCCAATAAGTCTAGTCCTGGGCTTTCCGTGAGATATACTTTCACTTTCTTCTGTACATTCCCTTTTTTAACTGGACAGTATATCTCTCCAACAATATTTAACTTTCCTCCAGATGCACTGTGTGCTAACTGGGTTGTAGGGAGCACCGAGGGTTTTCCAATATGACTCCATGTTTTGCGGCTGATCAGTGAAATATCTGAAGCAGTGTCAAGCTGTAGACGAGCACGGCGCCCATTTATCTCTAAGGTCACATATTTTCTTCGATTATGTTCTGTTCTAGTATGTGCTACCATTATTCTGTTGATTGATGAACAATTTTTACGTCTTCGGAAATGAACACTTGATGATCGACGGTGCATCTTCTTTTTACAACATGTTTCTTTATGTCCTTTGAGCTGACATCTAGTGCACCGGTAGTTTTTGTATGGGCAGAACCTTTTGTAATGCAGCTCACCGCAAAACCAACATGCGGATGGAGGCTTCTTAATGGTTGTGTTCTGCTTTTGCTTCCCACTTACTGCCTGCACATAAGGTAGTCGACCATTATTTTCTACCATTGAAGTGTCATGCTTCAAGTTTACCAGATGCTGACATTCAGTAGTCACCTCTTGAAGGGTGATATTTGGACACTGTTCAATTTTGCTTAGAATTCTGGTTCTAATGTCGGCGTCTTCTGAAGATTGTAAGCTGCATACGAAAACAAGACATTTGAATTGGTCTTCTGTCATTGCTGATAGTTTAAAGCGCTCACATTCGCGATTTATTATGCTAGCATGTTGCACCCAGTCATCATTGCCGGCTTTTACTATTTTCAAGCACTGATATCTAATACTGAACAAGGAAGACTGTTCACCGAAAATTTGCGACAACATTTTAACTGTTTCTTCGAATGAAATGTCTCTTGGGTTCTTGGGCAGAATGTAATTAGTATATCGTTCATGTTCAATGGTACCCAGCTTTCGTAGTAGCACCCTGACCTTGGCGGCATCATCAAAAGTTTCTAGGTCGACATTAAATACATCTTCATATTTCTTGTACCAAGATTCGAATGTTACACCAGCAACACCATCAAAATGAAATTCGTGAATGGAATCAATGATACAATCAGCATGCGATTTGGCAGAAACATCTGTAAGTCCATTCTTATTGAGGTTCATCTGCTGGGTTAGTTTTTCGAGTATGCGCATCTGGAATTGTTCAAGCCGTTTTTCATGGCGCTCTAGAAAAGCTTCAAATTGGTCAAAGGTAATAGACATCTTGATAAATTAACCCGTCGCCAGTTGTTATATCTAGAGCCTTGATTCTTAATATGCCGCGAACTACTTGACTACTTGAACGATAGAACCCGCAACGTCGCAAAGAGAGAAGACAAAGACTGGTAAGCAGGAAGTTTATTGCCCCGAACAATGTCAAAATATAGCACAGAAATCTCGTGTATTTATAGTTTTTGGCTGAAAGTAAATTATCATTTAGGTCAACCAATAAGCACATAGGTATCAAACTAATCCATCCAATGGGGAAGCTCCACGTTGGCATTTCTAGAACATTCCCCTAGCCCTGATTGGATGGAATGTCTGCGGCTCTTCCTGGGCTTCCTAGAGCCTCCTCGACTTCACCTGTGGACCATCCTCACAAATGTCAAGACAGTCCTGCTGCATGTGTCGGAGACATGGAGAGCTACGAAAGCCGTCATCCACCAGATACAAGTGTTTAGTAACAGCTGTCTACGCAAGGTTTTCGGATCCGTTGACCAGATACTATCAGCAACACGTTACTGTGAAAGACAACAAACCAGATTTCAGAGGAGGAAGAAATCAGGAAGAAGCGCTGCCAGTGGATTGGACACATTTTGAGGAAATCACCCAATTGCGTCACGAGGCAAGCCCTCACATGGAATCCTGAAGGCCAACGAAGAAGAGGAAGATCAAGGAATACATTGCGCCGAAAAATGGAGAGAGACATTAGAAGAATTAACAAAAGTTTGATAGAACTAGTGCAGAAAACATTAACCATAGACTTGTAGTTTTGGAGGCAATTTCCTTGTATGTTCACCAAAGATGACTTAGATCTGACAGCAGTGAAAACAAACCTTATAGCGAGATATGAATTTCTAGTCGACACTAAAAAGGCCTTTGATATGGAAAGAAACTTTGGGTTACACAAAAGGCAAAGAAAGCCACGTCACCTATCTCAATTTTGATACAGACTCCGCCGGCTACAACTGCGAAATCCCAGGATATACTCGAGGAATTTCCGAACCTAACCAAACCAACCTTCAGCTTCCCAAAAGCAAACAAAAGGTAAGTCGTACGATATAAACTGAGGTGGCATTTATGTTTGCTAGATCCAGTAGACTACCACCAGATAAGATTAGAATCCCTTGAGCTGAATTCAACTGCATACCACAGCTGGATTTTATCTGTCTGTCTGATAGAGAGTGGGCGTCCCCTGTACGTACGCGTGTCAGTCAACCTGAGGAATGCGGCATAAACATTTCGATGATTAATGGATAACCCACTCCAGGATATTCTTTCTAAACAGGGGTTTGATAATTGCCAGGCAGGATTTAAAATCACAGGAACAGCACGTGAGAGGTTTTAAAACAGCTAAATGACAATGGGATGAACAAGTATTTTCTGTGTTCCTACTCATTAGATTTAGTGGAAACACCCTAGCCGAAGGCATTCAGTCACGTATCCTCACTAGATCACAAGTGGGTTCGCCGTGCTGCGATTCCCTTTCAACAGTTTTCCAGATCAGACCAAACGCTTCCCAATATCTCGACAGTCTTCCAAATATATCCCTGCGGTACTTCATTCCTGACTTCAGATTTCGATGGGTTTCCCTTAAGCTGCGGGAAACGAACTTAGATATTATCTTTAGATAAGTTGATCGAAACAAATTTCCTATGGAAGTTGATTCTAGGAGGGAACTAATGTAACAACTTTGGTTGATTAGTTAGGACTTTGGTCCAACCATCGTAATAATGACATCCACTAGATGAACTCACATTTATAGGAAGCAAAATGATAATTCCTCATAAAATTACTCAATTTCATGAAAGCGTGTTAAAATTTCAAACGACTCACAATATTTTAGTGGGTGGTTTTTCGATATGATAAAAGTATAGAAAAGATAAAATGATAGGTTTGTTTCACATACGTGCATACAGAAAACCCAACAGCAAGCGGATTATATGCAATGCTAATATTTGCACTGTATAACATCGCGGTGAAAGCATGCTCACTGAGTTCAAACTGAAAACTACGTTCTGAATAATATTCAGTCTGAATGAGAAAAACAAAATTTTCAATTAAACGTCAATGGAACTGAGTAATCACTTTATTGTAATCTTCACAATAAATGACTACATATTCTGATTTATATCATTCGTGCTAACAACAAATATTCTAGCTTGATGGCTTTATTTCGCTTATTATTATACTGAGTAATCAAAATTGCAATAGAAATATCTGCGAATAATCAATATTTAATTATTTCGTAACGGTTTAAATCATTTGGCTGCTAATATTTTGACAGTAAATTGATTGGTCATGGTACGAATGTGAGCAAATTGCAGTTTGCCTCGTCGGAGACAGCATAAAACAAGTTCATTTGGATATGGTAACTGATGTGTGGGCGAGAATGATAATTATTGGTTGTCTCGATGAGTCAGACAATAGAGGGGCTGACAGGTGTTAGCCCATATGTGTTATTTATATTCCCCTATCCTTATCATGTATTGACTGTTTCTTGTTGATGGACACTTATTGATTGACTGTTCTTTGTGTCGGATTTTGATGTAGAAATATATTGACGTTATAGTGAGGCTAATCTCGTGTTCTTGATCTGAGTTCTGTTGAAGTCCTGTAGAATAGACACTGGGTGGGAATCTAGTGTAGATATTCGTCTAAGATAAATTAACGTCCCACATACGTGTAAGAAATAAAAGGACTGTTATAACAAGAACCCCTAAAGTTATAACCAGCATCCTCTCCTTTACGTTTATAACAATTAGCGACTGCATACTTACGTTTATAACAGTAACTTGATCGGAATCAGAATAGGTGAAACGCATACTAATAAACTAATCGTTTCCATAGCACACAATAATATGTGTTGGATAATCTGTAGATTCAGTTTAGTCAGCGATGCAGCTTATCGATATGGACTAGCAACATGTTTCTTGGATTACAGAATAAACACTTGTTTCAATTTACGAATAGGACAATGCGATCAGTAGCTTGTTAGAATTAGCACTAAACTTTAACTTTTCGTATGATACCCAAATATATTGCTTAGATGCCGGAAAAATCTAAGCTATATATCTCGCCTTCAGTACTCTCCTCAATACAGCAATGTATTTTATCAAAAGCATTGGAAAGAATAATGTAAATCAGTAAAGTATAACAAGTAAAATGCAAGAATTGACAAATTGGTAGAGTAACTGATGAAAACATGCAGCCTATTTATGTGGTACGTCAGACGGCAAGCGTCATTTGATAACAGTTAAACATTAGAAGGCCAAGAGAGATCCAAGGAAAAACTGAAACCAAGATAAATAACTTTTGACACTGTGTTTATCAAAACGTCTCCAACAGTACAAGCTTTCTGCGATTGGAGCAGGATGTTAAATTCCTAAAAGACATTTTGAAGTGGAACTATGAATAAGCAAGTAAGTTCATACTCTATCGTTTGACAGAAACATGTAAAGACAAATTGTTTGAGTAACGTGTATCAATATGTACTTTAAACCTTAAAAAATCACATACAACAGTAAGTCAATAAAATAATCTTTTTTCATTGTAAATCAAAAAATAACCATTGGAGTCACTTTGGACAAGCAATAGTGTAGTTTGACATGTCAAGTGACTGAGTAGTATATGTTAAATTGAGTAGCTAATGAACGTTGAAGGGTGGGATTTACTTCTCGTGTTTTCCAGTGAATCGTGTGACATATCTGAGCAGATGTCAAGAGGCCTATAATTAGAACGTGGATGGCTAGTATTTGATAGAATTTTACACAGCGTTTCAAACACATCCTAAATATTTTCTTTGGAAAACAATATTTCCCGTTTAATTGGTCTGAAGACAACTTGGTATTGAAAAGTGTTTCCTCAGGTAACATCATGAATTCAGTTGGTCTTCGGAAATCAATGAGAAGTACATGAAACCTGGTTGTGTTCCTACTTGGCAAGCATCTCGTTGAATAAGTATCATGGAAATGAGTCTGAGTGATCAATTCACACAGATATTGATTTCATTTGAGATTGTAAACTTATATATAAATTGTGAATCACTTAATAATTCAATTTTACTGATAGGTTACTATTCAAGAAAGAACATCAGCCATATATATTCTTAAATTAGAATCATCAACCAGGCGAACATCAGTGCAGTCAACTGTTATGCTGTTTCCGCAAGTTTGATATATATATATATATATATATATATATATATATATATATTTGGCTGTACGTTTGAAGTTTGCGTTACGATTACACGATATCATTTGTAAAGTGTTCATATATCTTTGAATCCTAGTTCACAACTCATTTTTAAGGACTATAAGACAGAATAGTTTTTCTTAACAGCTTCACGAAGATTGTTTTCAACATTATAAGTTGATCATATACCTTTGGCATTTTAAACGTGGACGATGGCAGTTGAATAAGTTGTTCATCTAGATCAAGATCATTTATACTGGTAGTTAGATGTTCACAAAAACGTTTCTGTAGAGTTTCGTCCTCAAATGAGTGGTTTGATGGTAAAGCCTTCCTTGAGCTTCTGAACAGAATCATAAGCCCAAACTTCTGGTGAAATTTAGTATTCAAACCTCTCTGTGTATGACTCACAGATTTTCTAGTTGACCTCGATCTTCATTGGTTGTTGTTGACCTTATATTACCATTGTCTACCTCTTTATTTTGATTGTATCTCATTTTTACATGATTCTTGATCCCATATTTGTCCATGACTTTTGTGACTAGTGGATAGATTGGGTTTGCACCATTCTGCCGATATTGCACTTACAAATTTTTCCCTGGAGCATTACTATGGGAGCTCTGACCATCTAATTTAGTGCTCGATCAGATTTCTGGGACTGTGTTTCTTCATAATTTTTGAGTGGCGTTACATAAAAATAATCCGTTAGAGATGCTTTTGGTTCGTTCAACGATGCACTACAAGTTCTATCGTGTTTAGAACCTCAGATGGACTCAGACAATAATTATAGTACGTCATACGCAGTATGAGTTCGTATTTTGTTGCTATAGGAGATATAAACACAACACAAAATATGGGATTGATCAGTACGTGTACTAGTCGTTTGTCAGCTTTGATAATCCAATCCCAAAGTCAAATTTGTGAATGAATTAGTTTGTTTCTTGGTTATTGATCGGTTAAGGTTCGT